TTCTGTTTTTTAAAATCATTTTATCTACATAAAATAAATCGAGCTTACAAAATATTTAATCAATTCATTACGACTAAAAACATTGCATACAAAAAAGAGTAGAAATAAATATGCTTAACATAGTTGTTGATATTTGATTTTTGAAATAAAGTAAATATAGTAGTTTTCCAGTCAGTTACTGAACTTCTCTAAGTAAAATTTTTCCCTCTGTTCTATTACAAGCTGTCTAAATAAGAGAACATTGGTTTATTCATTCATTTCTATGTCAAAATAATTTGAGAATAGCTTTTCAACCAATATGCATCAGAAATCTGTCTAGTCAAAGTCATTTGCAGTCATTTACTCTGAGTCATTTTGTATTTTTAATTTAATTTATGTAATTTCTAATGACACATATCAAAACATTTAGAGTCATTTTATTTTGTAGTCGTGTGGTTCGACGAATACAGCAACATCGCATTGCTTTCTTTCTTTTGTTTTTTCTGATATTAGAAGTAAAACATTAGAAAATAACTTTTTCCTTTCATGTATAGTATGTATTGACATCACAATGATGACGATGATTAAGAATAAGCGACTATTAGCTTTTCTAGTTATGAGATTTCTTCGCTTAATTATCACTTAGACGGACAAACTATGTACATAATCCAATTTGAAAAAGTTGAAATAACTAGAATCAATCATTTTTGTCTAAAGTAGAGTTTCAGTAGTTAAATTTAATCATATTCATTGAATATTACAAAGATTTGAAGAAGTATTTAATTTCTAACATAATCGTCTGATTCTATTCTACATAAAAGGCATCTGACTATTATTTGAATAATTTTTGTATCGAAACAATGATGGTGATTGGAGATTGTTGTTTATTTAAAAGTGTAACTTTGAAAAATATTTTTTTGCAAAATTAAACAAATCAGTCGCATATATAAATACTATAATCTTAAAAGTTATGCTACAGTTCATATTGTTATTGAATTTATGTTATTTGTCAATGGATTAGAATATCCAATTGATATGCTATGCAATCGATCGAATTGTAAAATTCTATCGTATATGATATTCATACATAATGAACTTTACTTTACATATCAGCACTGAATCTCAATTCTGAGAAATGCTTTCTATAATACTATAATTTCTGAATCATCATCCATACTAATAAAAAAAACAAATAATGTACATACTTACATATATCAAAATGGTCAAACAAATTTTAGATTGTTATAATTGTTTATTGTCTCTTTTCTTTGGTTTTTATATAACTAAAGAAAAAAAGGAGGTCTTGAGGGAGTGATGGTAGAGTTAGGTGGTTGAATAGTTATCATGATAAACCATTACTTTCGGACCTGAGACAGGTCATGAGAGAGTAATGGTAGAGTTAGGTTGTTGAATAGTTTTCAAGATAAATCACTACTTTCGGACCTCAGAGAAGTCATGAGTGAGTAATGGTGAAGTTAGGTTACAATCATATCAATATTAAAATGAATAGATAAACCATCACTTTCGGACCTCCGTACATTGTTAGAATAGAACTGTATGTTAAGTTGAAATCAAATTGATATTGACTAATAAAGTTTCGACATAACACCGAAGATAAAAAGAAAATTTCCTATGAAAGACATTTCTTCTCTATATGTAGATGTCAGATTCTTTCAGTAATTACTCAACATCAAATATGCTTTAGTGTTGACAGCATGTGTGTTTATGAGTATGAAGAAGAGGTTTGAGAATAATGGGTTATCATAGAATATATCATGATTCATAATTTCATATCACTTAAATAAAACCATAATTTTTCGAATTAAAAAGAGGTTATTTTATAAATGTGTTATACCAGAGTTTTAATTCTTTTTCATTTTGCTTGGTTGCGATTGAAGAGAAGACCAACACACCCCACAGTCAACTAAGTCAAATGGAATGATATCAAACAAAGTGTTGCCTTCGATAAACGATGACTTTAAATACCTATAGATCCTTGTAGTTTTTCTTATAATTCTACTACTCTAGATTTGTAACCATTAGAAATGGTGATCAGTAGGGGTGTCGAATTAGCATTAGAATTGCATTAATTAATACTTTTTTTAATGCTTTTGTATTAAAATTAAAAAATTAACTTAATGCTTTTGCATTAGTGTTAATTTTGTATTAAGAAAATGCTAATATCTATCATGATCGTGCAATTCGTTTATAGAACTGACATTATAGTTTTACCAGCAGCTTCTCTATAGTGGAATTCTCTTTGTAACATTTCTATACAGAGAAAATGTCGTGTATGCACCAGGATGACATACATGTACATTTATAGTTCTTCAGAAAGCATAAATATTATTATCAGATATCGAGGGTGAGGGTATGAGTCGGCTGTGGATGTGGGTGCGGGTCATATGTTCATTCGCATCCATACCCCACACTCACACCCTAGATCTCTCACTTTGGCTATTTCTTTAAAGAAATCTCTTCGAAATTACACCATTCGTGTACTTTTGTACTTGAACGAAAAATACAAGAAAGTCAAGTGACAATGATGTCAAAGTGGCAAGGTTTGAGACAATGTATTACATTCATTTGACTTGTGCATCTTATCGCTTTTTAAACTTTCATAAGATTTTATTACCATTTCAATCAAAGAACAATTATGAGAACATATTCATTGCAAGTTACAAATTGGTCGATGTATTCTGTCAATTCCATCCAACTGTATAATTTCTTGCTTACGTAAGTTTCACTCAAATATGGCTTAACTTCTTTGTATTCTCAAAGCTTTTATCAAGGACGTTTAGTTCAGATAGTTGATTTATGATGATGTGCATATGATAATATTTTGTAATTATATACACTAAGTAATGCATATTATTGTTCAGATAACTATGCTATTCTACCAACTTCAAATATCATTCAAAAACAAGACAATCCCTCGAGTCGTTTTGAATTTGAACACATTCATCAGGACGTAGATGTGGGAGTCAGTTGAAAGAAAAAAAACCCACACTCACACACATATATACACACAAATACATAATCGCATCTTCATATCAACGCGTTCACACCCTTCACGCCAACATTCTCAGCCACACTCCAAACCTATGCAAACCCTCACATCTTCACAAACACCCACATTTGAACACACACTCATAATAGCAGTCCAGACCTTATCTGTCTTAGGTTGTTCAGAAATCTCATTTCGCTAAAAACTAAACCTGTCTACTAGATTTGTCACTCAATGCATTTGTGGATATTAATTAAGACATCTATCCTAAAGTTTATATTCTTAGTGGATACTTTATGTAATAGCATCGCACGTTTAGCATTTATTTTTACTTTACCTCTGTCTTCGTATTGAAACGAATATATTTTTATATTATATCGATCGTATATAACGACAGTCATGTTCTATGCCTTCCATTAATAATGTAAAGAGTGATTCACAACTTGAAGAAAAATCATCGAAAGATTGTTGAAGCGAAATGGCGCAAACAAAAACAGAGAAATGACTCAAACTTTCATTCGAGTGTCAGTATGCTTTTTTTCTTCAGTGCTATTGACACAAACAGCAAGAAGCAAGAAACAGAAACAACTAATAAAATTGAATTGGAAGGTATAGGTATCGCACGAGTCATCTATGTTGTCGTTGATTCAACACGAGCGTCACCAATCATTGTTTAAAAGTCTTTGGTGAAATTATATTCGTCATTTTATTTCCATTGTTTCTTCTATTCATTTCAACATTCGAATAATGAGTAAGTTTATGTTAGATATTTCTAGAGTGATAATCAAGAATCGTTCAAATTAAGTTTTTAATAAAAAAATATATTTCATACAACTAATTTAATTATCTTTGCGAGCTTTAATGAATAATGAACAACAAATTGTAGTTAAGGGGGTCCCCCTTAGAAAATCCAATTTTTCAAAGAAATATGGAAGTTGAGTTTTTATCATAGGAAGATGCAGCGAAGCTTCCTCTTTCAGAATATATATGGCTTTTTGGAAAATGATCAGATTTTCAAAGACTTATCACATGAAACTTGGAGTCTACCACCATATTTTCCGAGAAATTTTCGTGGTTTTTAAAGATTTTCAGTTTTGGAAAAAATGCGATGCCACTTGCATTAGCATTGAGTAGAACATTTTGATATTACCCAGCATGACAGATGACGCTAGCTTACTGCATCTGTTACGCGCTTTAAAAAAGTCCTAGGAAGTATGTTGGAAATATGCCATTTTAATATGATTTTTTTTGATTTAAATGAAAAAAATTCATTTCTAAGACTTCTTTCTCGTTTTTCTCAGAACATGGTTTTCAGTCAGAAAAATTGAGATAACTCACGCACGGTTCAAGGTATAATACATATTATTTTTTTTTTTTTGTTTTAAAGGTCTCAATGAGAGGAAACTTTTCATCAACCAGTTTTTTTAAAACCGATTCTTGGGCTGAGAAAAGTGGAATTTACTGTCGTCAGATCGCTGTTTTTTATGCTTTTTTAAAGACATGCTTACTAAAATACTCATAAAAAATGCACAATACGGAATTTAAAAATTCTGGTTGATGAAAAGTTGCGTACTGACATTGGCTTTAATTTGAAACCACCCCGAGCTCTATACCTCGTACTGCGACAAACTTATCCAGATTCTCCTGAAGGTCAAAAATGGCCTACGAATCAGCTGAAACTCCGATCTAGTATGGCCAATCGGGCTGAAATTTTTACCAGAGACGTATCTCTTCAGAATCACTCATTCCTGAAATCTTCAGCTCAAAAGGCCCATTCGAAGTGGGAAATCATTTCTGAGGGGGGCTCCCCTTAAAGGTCACTTTTAATTTTAGGAATATGAAAAATTTAACGAAAGAATAACAGAAAGTTCTTTGGTAAATTTTTGCTGCAAATTACTGAAGTAGAAAAAAAGAGGAGTAATAGAGTTCAATATCAAATAATGAACAAGGAATTTTTAGGATTGATAACATGAGGAATTCTCACATAAATATATATGTAGGGCTCAAGAACAATATGTTCAATTCATCACTCTTATTTTATTTTAAAACAGATTACGGTCGTGGTGGTATTCATCCAGACGGAAATCAACATGGAAACTTCGGTTATCAAGCCGATTACATGAATTCAGCTCCTCCTCCCTACTATAACCCATATGGTGGTCCTCCGAGTCCTCCGAACTATAACCCATATGGTACTCCTCCAGGTCCTTCAAATCCTAACCCATACGGTGGTCCTCCGAACTATAACCCATATGGGACTCCTCCAGCTCTTCAAAACTTCAATCCATACGGAAACCCTTCTGCGTCTCCAAATTATAATACACCTACTCCTTCGAATTATAATGCATATGGTGGCTCTCCTATACCTCCGAACTCCAATCAATACGGAGGTCCTTCTGTACCGCCGACCTATGGTTCATCAGCCCCTTCAAGTTACGGTCCACCGGGTGGCTCTGCTGCTTATCCAAACTTCAATCAATACGCCACTCCTTATTCATCTCCGAATTATGGTTCATATCCTAATCAATATGATAGTAACAGACAACCTCCAAACGCTCATCGTTCGAATGGTAGTGGTTTTATCA